CATGTCTAGCACGGACAAGTACACCTGGGATACTCTCAGGAATGCCTGAATCCATGGCAGGGACCTTGCTTTGAACTCCCCAGGGCCGGGCACCCCGAGGATCTCCCCGAATAATCCTTTCGGTGCGCGCTGGAGTCCTCGGGGTGCCCCAACCCGGGGGGCACCAACAGCACTGTCCCTCCAGGGGGCCAATTTGGTCCCAAAATGCAGGGGGATCTTGCCTGTGTCCCAGACTGGTCCGGGGATCTGAGGCCCTTCCCGAGAAAATCCCGGTGCCGGCGTGAAGGCCCAGAGATCCCTTGGAGCCACGGGAGAGCAGGCACAGAGTCCCTTCTGCAGGGCCAATTCTGCTGCCTGAAATCAGCTCTTCAAGGAAACCTCTACGACTCAACTGGTGACTTTTAGAAGCCAGGCATTCCTTGCTTACAACACCCTGCCATGATCCCAGCCCACCGGGTGTCCTGGCAATCAGCTCCCAAAGGGCACACAGAGGGGTCTCCACTGCAGCTCATGGGAGGGGTCAGCATTACAGGAGGACTCATTTTCCCTCCCTGCATTCCTGGTCCATATTCAGGATATTCCCAATACCTGTTACCATAAATACAAACCCTTATAAGGTCGCTGAGGGGCTCCATCAGGGGTCTCTGGTGGTCACCTGTGCCTAGAGACCCCAAAGTTCTAAGTGACCACCTTATCAACTTCAGAACAATTCATGTGGTTGTAGAGGAACTTGGTGCTGCTTGGCTGATGCCTCAGTTCCCTTCTTTCTTCACCTCCCTTGGTTAGTCCCTTTAAATCCCTTGGCTCAGCTCTGTGGAGTTTCCAGGCTACATCCCACTGCAAAAAGGATTAGCTCTTGTTACATCTCAACACTCACATATCATTCCCTCTTTTTTCTTGACACTTGGCCATTAGGCCAGTGTCTCCTTATTTAAAGCATAGTTTGACTCCTCAGTGACAACAACTGACAGCCCTGAATCCTAACACAGGCTGAGACACAAACACGGATGGGAACTCTTAAGGATCCACTTTGTTCTGCTCACCAATCAAAAGGAGCTTTCCTAACTCAAGAAGAAGAGACCCCAGGTAGTTTTTCTGCAACGTCAACTGCTATAAATGTGATCAGCCAGACCTGCAAAGGCCCTTTCTTTTCTTCCTTCCCACTTTACCAATTTTCTGCTGCAAAAGCAAAGATTTCTTGGCTTTCCTTGCTCAAGGAGATGCAGCAAAGGCCATCTTTTCAATCTAATACCAGAAGCTACTGGAAGCTGTTATTTAAGGTGGTTCTCTCAAGTCCTGCACTCATCAATCATCTTGGCCATTGGTTTTCTTGGCAGGTTCTTGCATTCACATTCTACAAGAAAACCAGGATGAGCCAATTTAGCTGTTACTGCAACCAACCCAACCTGGCTCCCTAATTTTAAAGGATACTGGGTTTGCCTTACCCATATAGATCCCACATTAGGAGTGGTACCTACAGGTTCTGCCCTCTTCCACTCTCCTGGAGTTCCACTGGCCCACACCACAGGAACAACTGCAGCTGCCACTTCAGTCGGGACCTTGCTGCTGACAGGAGTTATTCCCTGCACAACAAGAGCTGCTGCTTTGACACATTTAGTTCCAGCAATTAGTGTCAATATCCCCAGTTTTCAATTGCATTTCTGCCTCAACTTGTCCAATCAACCACCTCCTAGCACAAGTTTGGGTGAGTTTGGCAAATAGAAAAACTGAGGAATTACCCAATGTTTTCCCAGTTTAACCCCTGACACATCAATCACTTTAACACTGCCAGTCCTTAATTCTCCCTCTATTGTGTTAAGGACTGAGGAAGTTGGACCTGTGTCTGACCAGGACATTTGCAAACCAAATTATGGGGACTGGAACACACACCTTGCACTCCTGCAGCTCTCACCATCACATTCAAGAGAAAACAGCCAATTGGACCATCACTGCTCATTTCTTAATCCCAATCCCACACTTCTTTGGCACTTGGAGCACCACTTTTATTACCCAATTATAGTCCCTTATAGAGCTCCATATCTAGGATGGATAGGTACACCTGGGATACTCTCAGCAATGCCTGAATCCATGGCAGGGACCTTGCTTTGAACTCCCCAGGGCCGGGCACCCCGAGGATCTCCCCGAATAATCCTTTCGGTGCGCGCTGGAGTCCTCGGGGTGCCCCAACAGCACTGTCCCTCCAGGGGGCCCAATTTGGTCCCAAAATGCAGGGGGATCTTGCCTGTGTCCCAGACTGGTCCGGGGATCTGAGGCCCTTCCCGAGAAAATCTCGGTGCCGGCGTGAAGGACCAGAGATCCCTTGGAGCCACGGGAGAGCAGGCACAGAGTCCCTTCTGCAGGGCCAATTCTGCTGCCTGAAATCAGCTCTTCAAAGAAGCCTCTAAGACTCAACTGGTGAATTTTAGAAGCCAGGCAATCTTTTATTACTATGCTCTCGAATCATTCCAGCTTGCCCGGCGTCCTGGCAATCAGCCCCAAAAGGCACACAGAAGTGTCTCCACTGCAGCTGATATGGCAGCATTACATGAGGGTTCATTTTCCCTCCCTGCATTCCTGTTCCATATTCAGGACATTTTCCAACACTTATTATCATACACACCTACCCTTATAAGGTTTCTGAGGGGCTTCCCAGGTCTTCTCTGTCTGGAGCCCTCAAAGTCCTCAGTGCCTGCCTTAGGAACCTCAACACAACTCACCTGCTTACACAGGAGCTTGGTGCTGCTTGGCTGCTGCCTTAGTTCCTTCATCTCCCTTGGTTGGTCCCTTTAAATCCCTTGGCTCAGCTCTGGGGAGTTTCGGTGCGACATCCCATTGCAAAAAGGATTAGCTTTTGTTACATCTCAGAACTCAGATATCATTTCTCCTTTGTCCTTCTCACTGGGCCATTAGGCCAATGTCTCCTTATTTAAAGCATAGTTTGACTCCTCAGTGACAACTGACAGCCCTGAATCCTAACACAGGCTGAGACACAAACACAGATGGGAACTCTTAAGGATCCACTTCGTTCTGCTCACCAAACAAAAGGAGCTTTCTGAACTCAAGAAGAAGAGACCCCAGGTCCTTTTTATGCAACATCAACTGCTATAAATGGGATCAAACAGACCTGGAAAGGCCCTTTCCACTTCCCCTGCAGGGCTGGCAGTGCCACCACTTGACACAGACCCAGTGGCTGGGCAGGAACGGAGGGGCTGGGGCATCCAATCCATCGGCCCAGGCGGCACCAGGAGTTCCTGGAGTTCCTGCAGGGGAGAGCCTCAGGCCATCAGAGAATTATGGAGATCATTGTTTCCTTTAATAGGTATATCTCCTGGAATATGGAGAGTTTGACAAGGCCTACTGAGGCAACAAGGACACACTCAAGGCTATCTATTAAAAGGATCTACCAGCACTCAAAAGCTATCACTGTCCTTCTTTCAGGGGGAACTCAGGAAACTCTGTTTGCACCATCTAGCCAAGGCAGCAAATTCTTACAGGCTCTTCTTGAAAGCTGGCATAACAGTCTTACCACACATCCAGAGGGAGCAATCCAGAGTCCACCCCATCCTACCATTCCCAGGAAGGCAGTTCATGGGCTGTCTGGGGCTCAGGGAGGAGTCACGGGGCTTCTTTTCTTCCGTCCTGCTGTCCAGATTTTCTCTTGCAAAAGCAAAGGTTTCTTGGCTTTCCTTGCTCAAGCAGATGCAGCAAAGGCCATCTTTTCAATCTAATACTGGAAACTGTTCTAGGTTGTCATTTCAGGGGGTTCTCTCAGGTCCTGCACTCATCAATCATCTTGGACATTGGTTTCTTGGCAGGTTCTTGCATTCACATTCTACAAGCAAACCAGGAGGAGCCAATTTAGCCGTTACTGCAACCAATCCAACCTGACATTCTGATTTTAAAGGATAAGGGTTTGGCCTTACCAGGAGAGATCCCACATTAGGGGTAATACCTACAGGTTCTGCCCTTTTCCACTCTCCTGGAGTTCCACTGGCCCACACAACAGGAACAACTGCAGCTGCCACTTCAGTCGGGACCTTGCTGCTGACAGGAGTTATTCCCTGCACAACAAGAGCTGCTGCTTTGACACATTTAGTTTCAGCAATTACAGTGTCAATATCCCCATTTTCAATTGCATTTCTGCCTCAACTTTTCCAATCAATCTCTTCCTAGCACAGGTTTGGGTGAGTTTGGCAAATAGAAAAACTGAGGAATTACCCAATGTTTTCCCAGGTTAACCTGACACACCAATCACCTTAACACTGCCAGTCCTTCATTCTCCCTCTATTGTGTTAAGGACTGAGGAAGTTGGACCTGTGTCTGACCAGGACATGTGCAAACCAAAGGCTGGGGACTGGAACACACACCTTGCACTCCTGCAGCTCTTACCATTACAGTCAAGAGAAAACAGCCAATTGGACCATCACTGCTCATTTCTTAATCCCAATCCCACACTTCTTTGGCACTTGGAGCACCACTTTTATCACCCAATTACAGTCCATTAGAGAGCTCCATGTCTAGCAGGGACAGGTACCCCTGGGATACTCTCAGCAATGCCTGAATCCATTGCAGGGACCTTGCTTTGAACTCCCCAGGGCCGGGCACCCCGAGGATCTCCCCGAATAATCCTTTCGGTGCGCGCTGGAGTCCTCGGGGTGCCCCAACCCGGGGGGCACCAACAGCCCTGTCCCTCCAGGGGGGCCCAATTTGGTCTCATTTCTAAAGGCAGGGGGATCTTGCCTGTGTCCCAGACTGGTCCGGGGATCTGAGGCCCTTCCCGAGAAAATCTCGGTGCCGGCGTGAAGGCCCAGAGATCCCTTGGAGCCACGGGAGAGCAGGCACGGAGTCCCTCCTGGGAGGCCAATTCTGCTGCCTGAAATCAACTCTTCAAAGAAGCCTCTAAGACTCAGCTGGTGAGTTTTAGAAGCCAGGCATTCCTTGCTTACAACACCCTGCCATGATCCCAGCCTGCCGGGTGTCCTGGCAATCAGCTCCCAAAGGGCACACGGAGGTGTCTCCACTGCAGCTGAAGGGATGGGTCAGCATTACAGGAGGGCTCATTTTCCTTCCCTGTATTCCTGTTCTGTGTTCAGGACATTCCCCACACCTGTTACCATAAATACAAACCCTTATAAGGTCTCTGAGGGGCTCCATTGGGGGTCTCTGGTGGTCACCTGTGCCTGGAGCCCCCAAAGTTCTAAGTGACCACCTTATCAACTTCAAGACAACTCACCTGGTTGTAGAAGAACTTGGTGCTGGCTTGGCTTCTGCCTCAGTTCTCTTCAGTCTTTCTTTACTTTGCTTGCACAGTCCCTTTAAATGCCTTCGCTCACCTCCATGGAGTTTCTAGGGAACATCCCACTGCAAAAACTACCAGTTCTTGGTACATCTGAAAAGTCAGATATCAGGGAGCGAGGTAGAAGTCAACTAATTCATGCACTGTCTCCAAATATCGGGACAAAGACACCATAACATTCCATGGCCTCCCTTTGTAAATAAACACCAAACTGCTCAGACACAAACAATAACCTGCACACTACAACAATCTGGCACTGTTGGTTAAACCCGGCCAAGTCAGTTGGGAAATTGCACAAGGTGAACTTTTTCTCAGTTTCAGCTATGATACAAAAATCAGAGAGATCACAGATTCCCCTGTACAGTTTTACTCTGAGGAGAGAAAGAAACCAAAGCCATCCCCAGGGCTGCAATAGCTCAGGCTCCCAAAATGGCCCAGGGGCTTCAGGTTTCAAAGGGGCTTCACCGAAGGGCTTCCCAGCTTTTCTCTGTCTGGAGCCCTCAAAGACCTCAGTGCCTGCCTTAGGAACCTCAACACAACTCACCTGCTTATACAGGAGCTTGGTGCTGCTTGGCTGATGCCTCAGTTCCCTTCTTCCTTCTTTCTTCACCTCCCTTAAATCCCTTGGCTCACCTCTGTGGAGTTTCCAGGCTACATCCCACTGCAAAAAGGATTAGCTTTTGTTACATCTCAACACTCAGACAGCATTCCCCCTTTTTTCTTGACACTTGGCCATTAGGCCAGTGTCTCCTTATTTAAAGCAGAGTTTGACTCCTCAGTGACAACAACTGACAGCCCTGAATCCTAACACAGGCTGAGACACAAACACAGATGGGAACTCTTAAGGATCCACTTTGTTCTGCTCACCAATCAAAAGGAGCTTTCTGAACTCAAGAAAAACATACCCAACGTCCTTTTACTGCAACTCTACCTGCTAAAAATGTGACCAACAACACCTGGAAAGGCCCTTCCCACTTCACCTGCAGGGCTGGCAGTGCCACCACTCGACACGGACCCAGTGGCTGGGCAGGAACGGAGGGGCTGGGGCGTCCAATCCATCGGCCCAGGCGGCACCAGGAGTTCCTGCAGTTCCTGAGGGGAGAGCCTCAAGCCAACAAAGGATTAGGAAGATCATTGTTTCCTTTAATAGGTATATCTCCTGGAATATGGGGAGTTTGACTAGACCTACTGGTGCAACAAGGACACACTCAAGGCTATCTTTTCAAAGAATCTACTAGCACGCAAAAGCTATCACTGTCTTTCTTTCGGGGCTAACTCAGTAAACTCTGTTTGCCAAGAGCCTCCAGGAGGATTTCCAGCTTTTGGAGCTCTCTTTTAACTATTTTTCTCATCACTGTAGCTGGGACTATCACCTGCCCTAAAGGGGGAACAGCCCACAAAGTTCACTTGCAGGGATACCATTAACTCAAAGTCCCTTGTTGGGGGGTCACTGCACACCTTGGCCTTTCTTTGCCCTCCCACCAAAGATGCTGCCAACAGTTCTGACACATCTGGCAGACCCAGAGCTCTCCTCAGGGAATGCTTTAGCTGCTTAAAGGCTGCCCTTGCACCATCTAGCCAAGGCAGCAAATGCTTACAGGCTGTTGGAAAAGTTGGCATAACAGTCTTACCACACATCCAGAGGGAGCAATCCAGAGTCCAGCCCGTCCCACCATTCCCAGGAAGGCAGTTCATGGGCTGTCTGGGGCTCAGGGAGGAGTCACGGGGCTTCTTTTCTTCCTTCCCGCTGTCCAGATTTTCTCCTGCAAAAGCAAAGGTTTCTTGGCTTTCCTTGCTCAAGGAGATGCAGCAAAGGCCATCTTTTAAATATAATACTGTCAGCTACTCTGGGTTGTCATTCAAGGTGGTTCTCTCAGGTCCTGCACTAATCAATCATCTTGGCCATTGGTTTTCTTGGCAGGTTCTTGTATTCACGTTCTACAAGGAAACCATGAGAAGCAAATTTAGCTGTTACTGCAACCAATCCTACCTGACATTCTGATTTTAAAGGATACTGGCTTGGCCTTACCAGGAGAGATCCCACATTAGGGGTAATACCTACAGGTTCTGCCCTTTTCCACTCTACTGGAATTCCACTGGCCCACACCACAGGAACAATTGCAGCTGCCACTTCAGTCGGGACCTTGCTGCTGACAGGAGTTATTCCCTGCACAACAAGAGCTGCTGCTTTGACACATTTAGTTTCAGCAATTACAGTGTCAATATCCCCAGTTTTCGATTTCATTTCTGCCTCAACTTGTCCAATCAATCTCTTCCTAGCACAGGTTTGGGTGAGTTTGGCAAATAAAAAAAACTGAGGAATTACCCAATGTTTTCCCAGGTTAACCCATGACACATCAATCACCTTAACAGTGCCAGTCCTAAATTCTCCCTCTATTGTGTTAAGGACTGAGGAAGTTGGACCTGTGTCTGACCAGGACATGTGCAAACCAAATTATGGGGACTGGAACACACACCTTGCACTCCTGCAGCTCTCACCATCACAGTCAAGAGAAAACAGCCAATTGGACCATCACTGCTCATTTCTTAATCCCAATCCCACACTTCTTTGGCACTTGGAGCACCACTTTTATTACCCAATTATAGTCCTTTATAAAGTTCCATGTCTAGGATGGACAGGTACACCTGGGATACTGTCAGGAATGCCTGAATCCATGGCAGGGACCTTGCTTTGAACTCCCCAGGGCCGGGCACCCCGAGGATCTCCCCGAATAATCCTTTCGGTGCGCGCTGGAGTCCTCGGGGTGCCCCAACCCGGGGGGCACCAACAGCACTGTCCCTCCAGGGGGCCCAATTTGGTCCCAAGGCTTCAATGGACAGCCCAAAAGGCATTTCAAGAGTCCTTCTTTGGAACCCACCAACGGGTACGGGTAGGAAGCCACAAGAAGGCCTCATTTCTAAATGCAGGGGGATCTTGCCTGTGTCCCAGACGGGTCCGGGGATCTGAGGCCCTTCCCGAGAAAATCTCGGTGCCGGCGTGAAGGACCAGAGATCCCTTGGAGCCACGGGAGAGCAGGCACAGAGTCCCTCCTGGGGGCCAATTCTGCTGCCTGAAATCAGCTCTTCAAAGAAGCCTCTAAAACCCAACTGGCAAGTTTTAGAAGCCAGGCATTCCTACACACTAAGATATTTTAGAAGCTTACTGACTGAAAAAGCATAAAGCTTTTATCATGGACATCTGACCTCCAACAGACAGCTCCTTTCACCTTTCAGTACAAAATTTTTTTTCATTTAACAGGAAGCACCCAGGAACCCCAGACTGTGCTTTCCAGAACAGAAAACAAATAGAGGGAAAGAGCTTTGCGCATGTGTAACACACTCCAGAACAGACCTGACTTTAGTTCTACTCTTTGTGTCCAAATATAGCAGTCAAAAGCTCCAGCAGGAGAGCTGGCACATGACCCATGGTACCCTGAACGTCTATCTTATGAGGGCTGTAGGAAAATCACATCTGTACGAGTCCCTTGTGCCTGCAGATACCTGGGGATCCTCTCCATCCACCTCGTGCTCTCCCAGCAGGAGAAAGGGTGACCTCAGGGACACGGTGGCACTCGACATCCTGCTGAGAGAGCAAGGAAACCTTTAGCATAAAGGTGAGTTGGAATCTAAAGCTGCCTTTCCTGGGAGCTTTGTGCAACCAAGAGGGGGAAAATTTGCATCTCCTTTGGTGCAGGTGTCAACAGAGACCAACATGGCTTTTGCCTTTTTCAGACAACTGAGCCCTTTTTGGCTCCCTGGCAGCTCCAATGGCACCAGGACCCCCTTCCTGCACACCCACGGGTGTCACACACAGGCACCCACACACCTTTGCTCCAGCCCACACGTGGCCAACATTTCCTCACCCTGTACATCCCAAGGGGAGTATTTTTGCCAGAGAGCTCAGCAGCCACTCTGTCCTTGCAAACTGCCTCCCTGCAAAAAGGGAACCGATTCTCCTGGACATTTCTCCAACACTCAAGGTCTTTTGAAGCTGCTCTCGTGGCACCAAACCTGCTCGGGGTCTCTCCCAGCTGTTGGCTCTCCGTGGAGTTAACAGGCACACACTCTATTCCATCCTCCCCCAGTCAAACCCAATTCTCACCGGCAGGACGGGCCCTGCCCTTACCTGTCCAAGCTCCCGGGCTCGGCACAGCCGTGGGGACGGAGCAGCTTCCCAAGGCAGCTCCCGCCCGGCAGGAAGCACAACTCGCCACACTCCACCAGCCGCTGGGCACGGACCTGAGCTGAGCCCCAGGGAGGGCACAACTGGACAGAGAAGGAGCAAAAAGCATTAATGCAGCACCAAGAAACTGACACCAGTCTTTGCCTCCTAACCCTGCACGGGGAAAGGCTTTGGGATTCCGAGGCAAACCCTGAGACACCCAGAGAACAACAGCCCCGCAGCCCCGCCACGGCTCCCCACGGGGTCACCCGGCAGGTAACGGGCTTACTCGGACCCCGCTGCCCAGCACAACGCGCCCCTAAACGCCCCCAGCTGCCCCGGTCCACAAACCCAGCGGCCAAGGCGCTCTCCCCTCCGCAGCCCGGGCAGCAGCGGGGCCGCGCCCTCAGCCCTCACACACAACCGGCCCCACCCCCCCCGCCGGCCCTTTATACCGCGGGCCGGCAGCGCTGCCCAATCAGCGCTCGAGCGCCTCCGCCCAATCCCAGCCCGCCCGGCCCTGCGGCCCCGCCCCGCCCGCTCAGCCCGGCCCCGCCCCTCGGCGCGGCCCCGCCCCCCGCTCCCTCAGCGCGGCTCCCGCCGCCGCCGCAGCCCCGGCGGGCGCTGCTGGGGCCGGGGAAGGGCGGGTGGGAGCTCCGCGGCCACGGCCCGGCCGGGAGCTCTCCCGGGACAAGGGGAGTGGGGCGGGGAGCGGGGCCTGCGGGGACAGCGGCGTTTTTGGGGGCGGGCAGGGCGGGGCCGGGGGACGGGGCCGGCGCGAGCTCTGTCAGAGCAAACCTGGTCATCGTTCCAGTGAATTTCTCTTCCAAACTGTGGGATCGTAGGGTTTTCCCGGAAACAATAACAGGGACAGAGGTGAGGTCACAGGCTTCCAATTCTAATGATTTGGTGGACGTAAGAGTCATCCCGGTATGTTTTACACTCCCCTGTTTCTTTCTGGAATAATTTTAAAATTATTCCCGACCCCCGGACGGGGCCGGCCCGGGGGGTCCCCGTTTCTTTAGAAAGCAGAAAGTAATAATTCCTCCCCCAAAGAATCAAGGAAGGGGGATGACGAAACCAGATTTGCTTTCTTATTTATTATATCTAAATCCCCGTGAGTAAGTAACCTAATCATATCCTGCATCACTTAATGGCTACACAAAACTACTCATGTTTTCAAAGGAAATGAGGGAAATGGCACTCAGGTAGTGACTCACTATTATGGAAAATACTGTATTGGCCCATTTTGGAAGGGAAGAATGAAAATCACTAGTGCCTGAGGTAATACTTGTCCTTAGGAAATGTATTCCCCCGTTTTGGTTTTGTCGTTGTCTCCAATCACAGGCATCGTGAACTCACTGCTGAGTTTAACTCAAAAGTCAAGCAAGTGTGACCAGGCTCACTCATTTCTGTTAATCAAAGCAAACTTTTAGTGCCTCTGGGAGACGCTTGGGTATTTTTCTGGTCTGTGAAGAGGCCCTTCTGAAAAAGTTTACATTTTTCACACCGTTTTCATGACAGTGACCAGGTGCAAAGCAGAGCCTGTTAATGCAGCAGAGATTAGAGCTGAATATTCACAGACACACACAAAAAAAAATCCCTGATGCTGCTATTTCAACTGCAATGCTCTGCAACAGACACTCAAGTGCTGCTCCTCAGTAAGGAAAGAGGGAAAAACCCTTTCCTTAGGTGGGAGGATGAAGTTCTGTGGTGTAGGACTATTTATATGCTTGTAAGAAATACTTCCAAGTGATGCAAAATTTATTCATTTTCTGCAATATAGTTGTTTTTGTTATCCCAACCTTTTTTTTTCTGAATATTTTTTTTCTAATACAAAGAAGGAGACTGAAGAAAAACACCTCAGTTTGCAGAAAATAAACTTTAATGTGCTAAGCATTTACATTTTCATGGTTTTATTGGGCTGAGGAACTGGCAATACAGCGGCTCAGAAAAATAAGGACCAAATTTATACACTCTTGAGAAATTAATTAGCGTTAGTTATCAAGACTGGTGATCAAAACTGCTGGATTATTTCCCTGGATGAACAGCAACTTCCAGTTTGGATCTCAACTTCCTTTGCTTCGCTCTCAGCCAGTCACAGAGCAGGGACTGAACTGAATAGAAATAGAAATAGAAAAGGCCTCAAAAGAGATCTAATGATCATTCACCACTATTTGGGGAGGTTTTTTATTTCCTCCCTGGCTTATTTCACAACAACATTCCTCTGCAAACAACCCTGGCTTTCTGTTTTCTCTGCTCCTCTGTTTTTCCAAGTGCAAAATTGATGTTGCAGAGCTTAAGTAATAAACATGGTTTAGAGGAATGAAATGTGCCGGGCTAATATACACACACACAGCTTTATTGACATGTGAAATGTTTGTCTGAATGATTTCATACTTACATGGTATGATGAAAATTCACTACAAAAACAGGTAAAAAGTCAAGTCAGAGGTTTTTAGCCGGAGAAAATAAACAAGAGCCTACAATTTACCCTTCCCCTAAAGTTAAACTAACTTCTTCTGCCAACAGTAACACAGCAGAGCTATATCAACAGAATTATATCAACACTTCTGCTGTTTCAATATGAAGTTCAAGCATCTGTTAACAACTTATTGCTTGTTGTTGTTGTTACTTGGCCAGATCTTTTTCTCTGTATACAACCTATTCATGCCGGAGTTCACTCTCTTTTCAGTACTTATTTACTTTTCCCACACTCTGCTTCTAATTTTCTCTCTCAACCCCCAATAATTTGAAGTTTCTTATAGGCCCTTTTGTCAGGGACAGTTTTCTCTTAGGATCCTTGGTTTCTTCCCAGGTGGTTTCTTCACCAGAGCACTTCTTTCTTGTGCCAGATGTTACAGCAACAGAGAGGTAATAGCTGACAAAAGAGACATGGAGAGATCAATTCATCCACAAAAGAAAACACAGAAACTGTCTTTTCTTTGCTGAAAATGGGCATTTTAGGTTGTTTGGTTGGGTTTTTTTCCAAAAAAAAAATGGGTGAGAGGCATTGAATAAGCATGCTGAGAAATTTTCTGGAAATCAGTTTATTCACCGTGGGAGTAAAAAAGCAAGCAAACAAAAAAATCTTTTACAGCCCAATTCTGGTAGTAGGGAGGGGTTTGTGGTTTTGTTGTTTTGTTTTTTTTTAATGCAAAATCTGCTGTTATCTTGAAGAAAAAAGGAGATGCTCCTAATTCCCTTGGGAGAGAACAGCAGTTATAATAAAAGAAGGCTACAATTGACTGGGCCTCAAAAGAGAGACAGCTTCTCAGCGCTGAGACAGGATTAAATACATACACCCAGTCTGTGCCAGGAGGTTTGCCTGACCTGTGTCTCAGAACTGTCAGGGATGAGAATCTTAAATTATTCCTGGGTTATTTGCTATGGAGCTGTGTGGTGAGTTAGAAAAGTTATCAAAGCTGCTTCTCTTAAAAACCCCACAGCTCCCAAATGCTCCGTTTTATGGACTCGGGCAACTGGAAACTGCATCCCATCATGTTATTTGGTCAGAAAACAGGAGTCTCCCCCCTCTCTCCAGCTGCAGGGATTTTGGGAGCACCCATGGGGCTTGCACTGTCGTATCCAGTTTTCCTTATCCCAGTGGAATGCCTCGAATATCGACCTCACCTCCATCACATGGATTTTCCTTTTTCCTTCCCCTTGCTAAAAGAGGAAACAAATACCCCCTCTGGCAATTCTACTTCCCCCTTGACAATCAGCCCAAGCCAACCTAATGAGTGCCATTAAGCAGCTTGGAAAGAAACAGCAGCAGACCAGCAGCATCCTTGACTTGATTCCAGTTTTTGCCTCTGAGGACACCTGAGGACTATCTCTTCATCCTGCAAATCACTTAAAGCAACTACATCATCGAGAAATAATCCTGAGCCAGAGAGTCTTTCCCCTCTCTGCTCTGTATAACCAGAGTTCCTGCAGAAGCACATCTTTTACACCTTGCAAACCTGGGAGCAGTGCTTTACCTTCATGCAACAGGACTGAACAGTGATTTATTTTTTTTTACTCATCTTTCTTAGATTAAAGGCACGTCACTGAAGGTCATCCTTCTTATGTGCCACCGAGTCAGAGCCAGCAGCAGAGGAGGAGCAGGAGCAATCCCAGCATATCCTGATGGCTTTTGTTTAAAAAAGTTCATGTGAGGATGTAGTTTAATCCAAACTACTCAGAAGTCCAAAATCAAACCCTCTACTTTGTAATTCCTCACATTTATACGTGCCCCATATTTATAAGCAGCATTAGCCTCCAAACCATAATTAATAGAATTCCGTGCAAAGTTTTAATTAAAAACTAACACCTAATTCCTCGAAAAGGCTGAACTCAAGGTTTCATGATGTAACAGCTCCACCTACCTGGCTTTTTAGGCATCACCACGCGAGCTGAAAAGTCTGCTTGCCAGGCCTGCTCGAGCACACCTGGGAAGGCATTTTTACATTTGTAAGAACAATTTTCTTATACGATAGCTAGAAAGGCAAAATAAAGATGAATATTAAGGCCAGTAGAAAAGTATCTCGGCTTACTGGGTGTATGCCATAACTCCAAGACAGATTTCTTACTAAAACACTTGTATTTAGACATGCAGTTCAACAAACATCATGAACATCAGGAAACACACCATGAAAGCACACGGGATTAGCTTCATGTTTCACTCTTCCCCCACCATGGAATTGCTTTAACATATAGAAGGGGAGAATAAACAATAACTAGTGGGAAATAATTTTTTAAAAACCAACCATGATCCAAAACAGAGATGTTATTTCCATGTCCCATCGCCTGTCTTTGTAACAGTCTCAGAATCTGCATACGTGCTTTTATTTGGAGTTTTTGCCCGTCCCACAGTCCAGAGGGACCTCTGGCAGCTGCACTGCCCAAGAGCTGCCGTGGGACTGCTGGGGAATGCACCACTGGAAGCAAGACAGAAATAAATTAATTCAGAGCACTACCTCGAAAGATTGAAGGAAAAAAAGCCCCAACATTCCATTGCCTCCCTTTTTAAAGGGAACTGTGTGAGCTCCGTGTGAGCCGGGAGGCTCCAGGCTGTGGGAAAGCACCCGGAGGGATGGAGGGAACACGATGTTCCTCTCCTCGCTCCCAGCACAGCCCTCGGGATACTCGGCACCACAGCTGGGGGATGGCCCTGGGGGTGCTTCTCTCCATCCCCATGGATCCTGCTGCCCCCCCAGAGCCAGAACCACCTCCGGAGGGGGGATGGAATGCCAGGCACGGATGCTCGGCTGGAAGGTGACACATCCCCAGCAGCACCCAAATCCCTGCAGCTTCGTGTTTGTTGCTGCCCAGCTCAGCTGATCCCCCTCTTCAGCATCCCTGGACATTGTCCTCCTTCTCTAATCACACCTTGGTAATGACTCAGAATGGCAGCAGCTCCAGTGCCAGCTCGGTCACTGCACGAGTCCTTGTCCCAGCCCTGCCACGCACACGAGACATCCATGGACACACAGGCCTTGCTTGTACAATTCCTGACCCAAACCCTTGCCTTTCCTGCCCAGAGATGAGGGAAATCGAACAGAATATTAAAAAACAACCTTCACTGAGAGCAGTCACCACCCCAGTCCTTCAGGCTCTGCAGGAGTCTTGTGGGGAACAGACCCAAATTTGAATCCTACATCTAAATTTCTAACAGGTTTTGTTAGAAAGATCCTGGACAGTAACTCCTAGAACAGCATGCAGAGACTGCACAAGGAGTAACAGAAGGTTTGCCATGCAGAACAAAAGTTCCTTTTTTTTCCCATATTTTTTCAATAATTTCACCTCTGTAGTAATTACTGACTTGGGTTTCTGCTGAAGGGCTGGACGTGTCCATTGAAGATTCAGGGGTCTGGCAGGTTGTTTATGGCTGATCTTGACTGGCCCAGACCAAACCCAACCACCCCCACCACTGCTTCACCCCAAATTTGGGTCAAATATTGATATAGTTTATAAATCCTCCTCTTCCCTGCTACTCAGTCCTTCCTTACACATCCATGGAATAGATTTACTCCACCTTTTGTTCCCAACAACAGCTCTCTAGCCAAAATCCCAGCTCTCACAGACACAAACTAAACACACCTAAGGCAATGGTTCCATCAGCACCTGGGGGTTGGGTTGGAGGAACACAATCTTACCGAGTTATGAGCCAGGGGATGGCATTTGGGAACAGCTCCTGCTGACTGGAAAGGATTCAGGTCCCAGGCTCAGTCTGCAGCTTGCAGTCGATCTCAGCCATTACCAACCAGCTCAGCCACTCCCTCTGAAATGCCACCTCTCTCCCCTGTACATCACCCCCCACTTTCTTACATATAACAGAGGTCGTGTCCCCTCTAAATTACCCCCAGTTTTCAGCTAAAAGGGTCACTTCTGTCCCCTCTAAGGAACCTCAGTTTTTCTGTCCAAAATTCTGCCTCAGTCATCTCTGAGTTCCCAGCCTTTCTCTCAGAAAGGCTCCTTTTTCCTCGATAAGGTACCCCCGGATTCACCCCACAAAAACGGTGATTTTGTTTCATCCAAATTACCTCAGCAATTCTATGGAAAATGTCACCTCTGCTCCCCCTCACAATTTGCCTCTGCTTTTCCCTCACAAACGTTCCTTCTGCCCCCTGCACAGGAACTCAGGTTTGATCCCCAAACCTCCCCTGCCCAGCTCAGGTTTTACCCCAGAATTGTCCCTTCCTGTCCCGCTGGGAGAACCTTGATTTTCCCCCCAGAATGTCCTTCACTAATTGCCTCGGTTTTAACTCAAAATGTTCATTTTACCCCCCCGGGACAGACGGGAGACCACAAGTCCCGGGTGCCCCGGGAACCCCCCCGGCCCCAGCCCGGCCCAGCCGCTCCTCCCCCGCTCGGTGCCACCGCCCTGGGGTGACAGGGAGGGGACAGGAACAACCCCCGACACACCGAGCTGCCCCTGCTGCTGCACAGCGAGTGCCTGCCTCACATTTTCCAGCCCTTCAGTGTTTAACGTATTCATACAAAAGTTTTATTTTCATTTTCAAACCCTATGGATCCACGTTTGGAATTTATTATATCCTAAAATCCCGCATATAATATAGCAGATACGAGGATTTGTTTTGAAATCAGCTTTTATATGAATTAGTATTACTTGTCAACAGATTTAAAAATAACAAATTTAAAAGACTTTAGTATTTTACAGAGACACACAGCCCCTCCCTATGAATTTTTAGGCAATTTTGGGCTGTCCCCTCCCTTTTTGGGGGAACCCACCTGACCGCCTTGATTCCCCACTCATTTTCTCCACCACAACACCACCCCCCCAGTGACACCGGAGTGCCCCAAATGACATTATCAGAGATGATGACACAGAGCCCCGCACACGTGTCCCCAGGGATGGGACGTGGCCGGGACATCCTCACTGCGACATCCCCGGGGCGCCATCATCACAGTCCATGTGCCCCGGGGGCTGTCCCGGGGGGTCCCCTGTGGCTCCGGGGGGACTTGGAGGGGGGCAGCTCCCACCTTGGGGACAGCAAAGACAGGTGCCTGAGGGGGACAGCTCCATGTCCCCCCTCCAGACCCCACCTGGGGTGTTTCTGTGTTTCTGCAGCCCCCGTGGATCTGCTGATGGATCCCAGCTCACCACCGTAGCCAAACCCCCCGTGGAGTGGCTCTCCAGGGCAGATAGGGCAGCTGGGGTCCCTCTTACCTGTGGGTGGGACACAGATCCAGCCCCTTTGTGCCACCCCCTCGGAGATGTCCCCAGTGCTGGGAGCGGGGGACTCCTCTGGCACGGTCGTGGCATCGTCGTAGACATCCAAGGTTCCAGCTGTGGCATCGTCGTAGCCATCTGGGGTTCCAACCATGGCATCGTCGTAGCCATCTGGGGTTCCTGCTGTGGCATCGTCGTAGCCATCCGAAGTTCCAGCCATGGCATCATCGTATCCATTTGGGGTTCCAACCATGGCATCGTCGTAGCCATCCGGGGTCCCAGCCGTGGCATCGTCGTAGCCATCCGAGGTTCCTGCTGTGGCATCGTCGTAGCCATCTGGGGTTCTGTGCCCAGGCAGGGCAGGGGGGGCTGGGACTGGTACAGGGGTACATGGCACTGACCCGGTGGCCATGGCAGGGACTGGCTGTGCCATCCCCCTCCAGCTGTGCCATCCCCCTCCGGCTGTGCCATCCCCCTCTGGCCGTGCCATCCCCCTCCAGCTGTGCCACCAGGGATGTGTTGGTGGCCCTTGGTCCCTCAGGGAAAGGCAATGCTTCTCTGCCCACTAACGAGGGGGGACGTGTCCCCTCAGCTCCCCAGCCCTTCCGTGTCCCCTGTCCCCAGTGCTCCCCGCTGGGTTCCTGCCCTGTGCCCCTACCTGGGGCTGCCCCGGTGTCACTCCCCTCCACGCTGTCCCCGGTGTAACACAGCAGCTTCTTCACGGAGCCCTCCCGCGGGGAACCTGCAGGGGGAAAACAGAGTGTTGGGGGTGGCCAGAGGTGGCACCGCGGGTGACACAACCTCAGCCACAGAGCACGGCTGTGATGGGACCCAGGGACCCCCCACACCACGGGGAGGAGCCAGTGCTGTGCCACCAGGACCCGCTGCCGCGGTGGGACTGTGGGGCAGAGCCCCCCTGTCCGGGCAGAGCTGGGGCACGGGGGCTGCACCGACCTGGGCGACTGGGCACCTCCTGGTACTCCGGCATCGCGCTGTAGTCCAGCTCCTCGTAGATGGCGTCGGGGATGGCACCCACGGCTCTGCCGGGGCCTGCAAGAAGAGGCAGCGCTCTCCCAGGGCCGTGGGCACCGTGGGTGGCACCGGGGGCACCCACTGCCCACCCTCCGAGCCGTTCCACACGGGGGGAGCCCCTGAACCCCCAAAGCGGCTCTGCCCCGGTACCCACCCGCCGGGACCCACCTCGGCGCCAAGCACGGGCACGGCACATCAGCACGGCCAGGGCGCCCAGGGCCAGGCACAGCAGCGTCCCCAGGACCACACACAGCACCACTGGCACCGGCACAGTCCCCCTGGCCACCTGCCCGCTTGGCACCGGCACAGTCCCCCTGGCCACCGCAGGGCCGCTGCTGCTGGGGACAGCTGTGGGGACACGGCCAGGCAGTGAGGGCAGGGGGATCCCAGCCGGCCCGGCGGGGGGGCTGCTGGCACGGGCAGAGCTACCTGTGCAGGTGGCCCCGTCCGGGCACGGGGTGGTGGCTGTCTCGCTGGGGTTGTCACTGTCCTCCGCACAAGCCACGTAGGCGTCCCCTCCGGGGCCGCAGGAATGCAGGTGCCAGGGTGCCGAGGGGCACCCCCAGAGCGAGCGGGCCCCCTCCTCGCAGCCCACCCAGGCCAGCCAGGCGGGGGCCGGCTGCTGGGCGGGGCCGGGTGCCAGCTGCCCCCCGTCCCCGCAGCCCAGCTGCCGGCAGACGGCGGCGGCGGTGCCGGGGCTGGTGCCGGTGGCGCACACGCGGCCCCAGGTGCCGTTGTGGAGCAGCTCCAGGTACCCGCTGCAGCGCCCGCGCCCGCCCGCCAGCCGCAGGGAGAGCTGCTCTGCGAGGGGTGCAGGGGGGTCACGGCACGGACGGGAACCCCCCCGGGGGCTCTGCTGCTCCCCGCCCCGGGGACACCCGACACTCACCTGAGCAGACGGCCCCGGCCCCGGCCCCGCGCTCGCACTCGCGCCCTTCCGAGCGTGGGCATTCCCAGAGAGACTCCTCGTTCCCGGCGCACTCAACCACGTACGGCCACGCTGTCCCCGGCCCGGGGCCGAAGCGCGCCGAGCCGGGGGCCTCCAGTGCCGCGCCACAGCCCAGCTCCCGGCACACAACGGCGGCGGCCCGCAGGTCCCAGCGCTCCTGGCACACGCTGCTCCAGGTGCCACCGGCATAGACCTCCACGCGCCCGGCGCAGCGCCCGGCACCGCCCGCCAGCCTCACCCGCCGGCTGCCTGCGGGCACGGAAAGACCGGGCTGGGGGCTGCTCGGGGCACCAGCACCCCGGCCCTTCTCGGGACACCGACCTGAGCAGACGATGACCATCTCCTCAGGGCTGCTGGTTGGTGCAGGGCCCATCCCTAAGACATCAGACATCTCCTCTGCCACGTCCTCCATCTCCTCGAGGCTCCTGGTCAGCTCAGGGCCCATCCCCGAGATGTTGTACATTTCCCTCGTCACGACATCCACCTCCTCTGTCACGACATCTGTCTCCTCCGTCATGACATCCACCTCCCTGGCGCTGCTGGTCAGTGCAGTGGGTGCCATACCCAAGGCTGTGTAGATCTCCTTTGGCAGGCCACAACCCAGCACAGCACACACCATGTCGACATCCCATCTCTTCCACTGCTCCACAGGCACACGGCGCCAGGCTGGGGTGGTTATGGCCTCCTCCAGCCTCCCGTCACACCGGCTCTCACCCTCCACCAGCCGCACGGAATTGACGGTGCCTTCAGTGCCTGAAAAATCACCAGCAGTGCCGTGGGGCTGTGGCACCTGGTTCAGCCCTCCCCTCATCCCAAAACAGCCCTGAGTGCTCCGCTCCCAATTCTTGGGGTGTCCCAAAAGCCCTTGGAGGCTCTTCCCACAGGTGCCACACAGACCTGAGCAGTTGACGGCGGCAGCGTTCCCCGGGCTGCAGGGGGGCTCCCCCAGCACCGCCACGGGGCACTCGCCCGGGTGCCGCTCGCTCCCGTTGCAGCCAAAGGCGTCCGGCCTCAGCGGCCCGTCCCCGCTGCCGAAGGAGCCTCCCGGGGGCACGGTGACGGCGTGGCCACAGCCCAGGTGGCGGCACAGGACGTCGGCATCGGGCAGGTCCCAGTCGGTGGCGCAGACGGACCCCCACGTGCCCCTCACCGCCACCTCCACCCGCCCGGCACAGCCCGAGCTGCTGTTCCCCAGCCGGAAGCCCGTGTAGGCTGTGGCAGAAAGGGCGTTCAGGGGGGTGATGCTGGGGGGACCCCCAACACCCCCCGGTGTCCCCGGTGCTTACGGGAGCAGATGATGGTGGCATGGCCAGCGCAGCCCTGGCTGTGGGGCACCCGCCGGGCGCAGGCGCTGAGGAGGGGCTCGCTGCCGGTGCAGTTGAACCCCCCCTCCCACAGCGGCCCCGTTCCCGCCCCAAACCGGCCGCTGCCGGGGATGGCCAGCGCCGCGCCGCAGCCCTGCTCCCGGCACACCACCTGGGCCACCTTCATGTCCACGTGCTCCGCGCAGACGCCAACCCAGGCCTGGCGCTGCCGCACCTCCAACTGCCCGGCACAGGCTCTGTCACCTCCGACCAGCCGGGAAAACCCTGCAGGAGCGGTGCAGAATTGGCACTGAGGGATGTGCCGGGAGTGCCGCGTCCCTCCCAGCCCGGCTCCTACCTTGGCAGATGACGGCGGTGTCATAGTCGTGGTTGTTCCTATAAGGTCCCCAGCCGCGGATCTCGCAGTCCCAGAGTGTGGCCTCGTCCCCCTTGCAGTCCACCAGGGCCAGGTTGATGGGCCCGGCCCCAGTGCCAAAGTGGTTGCGGGCGGCGTAGGCGCCAGCGGCCGAGCCACAGCCCAGCTGCTGGCACACCACCTCGGCATCCTCCATGTCCCAGTTGTCATCTCCCACTGAGCCCCAGTGTCCCCGCAGCTTCACCTCCACCCTCCCGGAACAGGGACCGCCACCATCCACCAGCCTCAGCTCCACGGCCTCTGCACCAGGACACCGGCACAGCTCAGCCCTGCCCAGCACACCCCGGCACAAGGTGGGTGCCCCGGCATGGCCAGCCTGTCCCCCTCACCTGTGCAGATCACCCCCGCGTCCCGCTTGTGGCCACAAGAGTGCTGGCCCCATCCGAAGTTTGGACACTCCTCCAGCACCTCCTCGGTGCCAAGGCAGAAGTAGGGCTGGAGCCAGATCCGGCCGCTGCCCTGCCCGAACGGGGCGTACGGGGACGACGAGGCCACGCGGCCACAGCCCAGCTGCCGGCACACCACGGTGGCCCAGCGGGCTTCCCAGTCGAAGTCCAAGACGCAGACGGAGCCCCACTCACCGTCGTGATTCACCTCCACGCGTCCGGCACAGCGCCCGCCGCCCCCCACCAGCCGCAGCTGCCCGGAGCCTGCGGCACAGAGGGGCCTGAGCCGGGCCCGGCACCGGCGGGTCCCCGCTCCCACCACCCCGCCACTCACCCTCACACAGCTGCAGGCACAGCAGCAGCCCCAGAGCCACGACCGGCCCCATCCCCGACAGGTCCCGCACCCCCTGCGCAGGCAGGGGATGATGTAGCGGCAGCGCCGGAGCCGGTGCAGGCGGCAGCACCAGGGGAGCCTTTATCAGCCGAGGGATCGCCCAGCTGCGGGGCCACAGCCTCCAATAACCTGCTTCGTGCCCAAATATGAGGCTCGGCTCTGCTTCTGGCGTCACACACCTCGCCACAGTGGGCCGGCACACGGATGTCCCCGGGGGGAGCCGCCCCCCCCAGCACCTGGGCCGGGGGGGCCCCTCCTGTTTCCCCCCGTGAGTCCAACTCTGCCGCTGGAGCCCGGCCAGAGCCATCCCCGCGCTGACAGGATTCAGCCCCAATCCCGCCGGAGCCTCCACGGGACCGCCCCGAGGAGCGGCTCGAGGCAGAGCCCCGGGGCCCCCTCCCCGGGTGCCCCCTCCCCGGGCGGTGGGAGCAGCCCCCGGCTCCCCGCGGGGGCGGCGGGTCCCGGTGCCTCGCGCGGGCGGTGGCACATGGCGGGGCTGCCGCAGCTGTGCCCCCGCGCTCGCCTCGCCGCCGGGGCAGGAAGGAGGCGGTCACCGCCCGCCGGGGACGCGGCCGAGGCACCGACCGCACGCGGCTCCTGCCACCTGCGCCGGCACCGATAACGCCGCCGCTCTGCGCGCCGGCACCTGGGCACGGGCAAGGCACGGGGGGGCACAGAACCCACTCGGCGCTGGGGAACCCGCCTGGGGGAGCCGGCACCGAGCACCACCGCAAACAAGGCGTGCGGGAGGGGGGAGCAGCAGCTCCATCGGGGTCTCGCTTGTGCCTGAGGGTGAGGACGGGGCTGAGCCGCTGCTGCAGTGCCAGTGCCGGGGGAACAGCGTGTTCCCGGCGGGGTCACACCTGCAGCGGCGCAGGCACCGCCACGTGCCGCCAGTCCCGCGTGGGACCGGGCACCTACCACATGCCAGCGCCCCCGTGTCACCCCGCCGTGGCTTGTGGGGCTGCTCCCAACCCTGGAGAGCCCTGGGGTGTCCCCATGGTGTCGCATGGACCTGCCACAGCTGCCCGGCCCTCCCGCCCGCACGGAGACCCGGCCGGGCCGGCAGCAGCGGCGGCCGGCAGCAGCCGGTCTCCCCGCGGCGGGCGGGGACCCCGGCAGTGGTTCCCGGGGACACCGTCAGCGCCTACCAACCCTACTTCCAAACACGGCACCGTGTCCGTCACAAGCGCTGGAATGGGGCCCGGGTTGGGGGGGAAGGCGCAGGATAAAGATGCGGACCCCCCGCCCATGGCCCCGGCCCGTGACCCCGCCCCGTGCGGAGCCCCCGGGAGCCCAGGGGACGTTCCCCGTTCCCCATTCCCCATTCCCGCTCCCTGCGGCCCGAGCCGGGGGGACTTTCCCCCTTCCCCGTTCCCGCTCCCTCACGGACCGACGGCAGCGGCCCCCGGTGGGCGGGGGCGGCAGCGCAGCCCCGGGGTCGAGGGGGGCTGGAGGCGGCCCAGGACAGGACCCCCCGCTCCCCCCGGGGCAGCTCCACAGCCCCCCTGCCCTCTCTGCCACGGGGGCCCCGCTGCTCCCCCGGCTGGCACAGAGCCCCCTGCCCATGGCTGGCAAATCAGGGCCAGGGCTCGGCCTCGCTGGCGCCGTGGCACAAAGGAGCTGCGGGCACCACTGCACCTCCAAACCTCCCTGGGAGGAGAAATGAATCCTGGAGCAAGATGCTTTTACAGCACGAGGTGGCAAAGAGTAAAAACCCAGAACACACTTCTCTACGTGTTGCTTGCCCTTACAAGTGCCCCAGAACTTCTTCCAGAAAAGCAGAGGACACCCCAAAGCCATGAGCAGGCGAACCTTGAGGGCTTCCCGTGCCCCCTCTGTGCCCTGGGGGTTCCCCCCTGCTCGTGTCCCCCCAGCAGGGCCTGTCCCTCCCCTGGGGCTCAGCGAGTTGTCCTGCCTGGCTCCCACCACCTTTCCTTGAGGGACATTTTATGACCAAAAAAACCCCCCTCATTAACTCTATCTTATCCCAAAAAGGTTTGTTCTGTACTCTAGAGATTGCCTAGGATTTTCCCTCCAAAATATTCACTGAACTTTTATGGAGCACTTCAAGTTTTACCCCAAAATTTTCTCTGCCTGTCCACTACTGATTACCTCATTTTTCCCTCAAAGTGCTCATTCTCTGCCAATACAGATTACCTCAAGTTTTACTCCCAAAATTTTCCCTGCCTGTCCACTACTGACTGCCTCAATTTATCCCAAAATGTTCATTCTCTCCTACACATTGCCCCACATTTTACCCCCCAAATTTTCCCTACCTGTTCACTACTGATTCCCTCATTTTTACCTCTAAATATTCACACTCTACACAGGACATTACCTCAAATTTTTTCCCCCAAAATTTCCTCACCTGTCCGCTACTGATCACCTCAGTTTACCTCATGATGTACATGCTCTCTGCTTCAGATTACTTCTGATTTTACCCAAAAAAATTTTCCCTACTTGTCCACTACTGACTGCCTCAGTTTACCTCTAAATGGTCATTCTCTACCCTAAATTACATCAAGTTTTACCCCCAAAATTTTTCTTCTTCTCTTTTTTACCCCAAGAATGGCCATTCCCTTCCATAAACATTACCTCAGCTTTGCCCTCAAAAATATCCCCTTCTGGCCCCTGTACCCAGGCTCTCCTCTCCACCCTCAGTGTGACCCCAGCGTGCAGTCCCCTGCAGCCAGAGCTTGAGCTCAGCACACTCCCTTATCAATGATTTGCTTTAATTAACCAACTCAAATGAACTAATTAAAACCAAATCAATATTATATTATTCTTTTTAATCAAGTTATATATAAATACTGCAGAATACAGAATACAAAGGAACCTTTTTAGCCTCAAAAACCCTTAAAAGAGATATACAGGGCATGGCTGCACTGCACCTCCAAACCAAGGACAATTAGGAGAAAAGAAAAAACCCAGACTGAGATTCCTTGGAGATTGGTGCAGCTGCTTCCATCCAAAAAAATCCTTGGTCTGCATGAACACCTGCCTGAATCCTAGGAACCTGTGATGTCATCAACATCCTCATGGTCCTTTTTATTAAAAGCAGATTTCCACGGAGAATTAATGAAATACAGAAAATTAAACTGAAATGTAAATGAACATTCCCCCAGCTCAGCAGGTTGCAGCATCCAAAAGAAAATGAACAGAAAGATTATGGACTGGGATCATCACCAATCCCAAGTCCCTAGTGTGGAATACCACTCTGCTTGGTTTCATAAATCACCACTTTTCTTACTGGGCAAACCCACCAACTTTAGTTCAAATTCACCAAGTTCAGAACTGCGGCCACATGGATTTTACTGTGCCACGTGCGTGGTGGAACCCAGGAGAACACAAAGGGTGTGGGTCCTCTGGGAATGTTCACAAGGCACCGCAGGGATCCGATGATGGATGAATTCCAACTGGCAGAGGGAAACTTACACTGGATAATGGGAATTCCTGGCTGTGAGGGCGGTGAGGCCCTGGCACAGGTTGCCCAGAGAAGCTGTGGCTGCCCCCGGATCCCTGGAAGTGTCCAAGGCCTGGTTGGACGGGGCTTGGAGCAACCTGGGCTGGTGGAAGGTGTCCCTGCCCACGGCCGGGGGTGGGATGGATGATCTTTAAGGTCCCGCCCCCGGAGCCAGCAGCCCCTGCCCGGTGCCAGCCCGCGGTCTGTGGCTCCCCGGTGTCTCCGCCGTGTCCCCCCGCCGAGCCGGTCCCGGCCCTTTGTTCGATCCCCTCACGGCCCCTCCGCTCCCGCCCCGCTCCCCTCAGCCCGCCCTGGGCCGGCGCTGGACCGGCCGCTCCCGGCACCGGGGAGGCCCCGGGGGAGCCCCGCGACCGCCCGGCGGGCCCCGCCCGTCTCACCCCGGTGCCGATCCCGATCCCGATCCCGATCCCGATCCCGATCCCGATCCCGATCCCGATCCCGGTCCCGATCCCGGTCCCGTCCCGGCCGTTCGGACGCTCCCGCCGCCCCGTCACGTGACGCGGCCGCCTGCGCGCGCAGAGGCCCCGCCCCGCTCGGGAGCGCGCGCGCGGGAAACGGCTCCGGGAACGGGACGGGAAGGGACGGGATGCGATGGGATGGGAATGGGATGGGAACGGGTTCGTGCAGATCAGCCGTGGGGCAGCGCGACCTTTCTTTCGAATTTCCTTTTCTTTTCTCTTTATGCCCTTTTATTTTCTCCCCCCTCCTTTTCATTTATTTTTACCATTTTTCTTTTTCTTTTTTTCCCATTTTCTTCTGTTTTTCTTGCCCCTTTTTCTTTTCTTTTTTTTCTTTCCTTTTCTTCTTTTTTTGCTCTGTTTTTATTTTCTCTTTTCTCTCCCTTTTTCTTTCCTCCTCTTTTTCTTTTCTTTCCCCCTTTGCCTTTCTATTTTTCTATTTTTTCCCCTTTCCCCCTCCTTTTTCCCTTTTTCTTTTATCTTATTTTTCCTTTTATCTCATTTTTCCCTTTTCCTTTTCTCTTTTCCACTTTTTCCTTTTTTGCCATTTCTCTTTTTCTCCCTTTTTCTTTTCTCTTTTCCTATTTTACTTTCTCTCTTTTTCCCATTTTCCCCCTTTTTCTGTTCCCCTTTCCCTTTTTCTCCTTTGATGCTCAGCCCTGTGCCTCATTAAATTCAGCTGCCCCAGGGCACGAGGACATTCCTAAGCAATAAAAGCCCCTCTCGCTCTGTGCCATAACTCACAGCAGGGCCCGGGAACAAACAGCTGGAGACACATCTGGAGCAGAGGTTGGGATCCCGCAGTGGAAGCCCCTTCCCTTGGGATGTGTGTCCAAAACCAGCCTCAATCAACTGAATTTGAGGGAAGCCCTTTGCCTCGAGGTCTTGCTGGGCACAGATTGGAGCCGCTGGTTCTTGGCACGTGGAAACAAAATTTTCCATGAATTTCTAAAGTTGGACAACAGAATAATTTCTGTCCAAGCCCCTGTTCCCACTGCAGATGTGTGGCTTCACCTGCTACTTTGGTTCAATATCCAAGGCAATATAATAAACTGCACCAAAAACTCACTTCAGTTTTTATAGTTGTTGATCCTTTAGTGTGTAAATATACTGAAAGAAAAAAGAGGAAAAAAGCCAAAAAAGAGGAAGAATAACGCTCCTGTATAATGCTCCTGAGGAACTGCTGCAGCACTCTCTGCTGGTTAGTAATGCACAGAGAATGGCCTTAGGAAATTGAAAATTCCAGGTATAACACCTAAAATAATTTACAACTTAGGTACTGTTTTCCTAATTAAAATACAATAAATTCCACTGAAAAGCCAGGACATAGAAAAATAACACACAGCAAAGGGAAAAAAATCATATTATGAAAACTCTTCCCAAGTATTTAACAGAATTATTTCAATTTTAGTATCAGTTTTTCAGTCACCAGTTTAAACAGAGCAGCCAGTACTCCCCACCGGAAGCAGGAAGAGTGATAAATCCACTGTGTAATGAACTTTCACCTTCCAAACAGAAGGAAAAACACAAAATATATAAAAACTGAAAGACAGGGAAACATTCTTAAATTCAACACATTTTACAGGATACGAAGATTTGCAGTTGCAGAACTGAGAGCTGGGTCAGGGTTGGTGCTTCTGCTCCATAACTCGGCCAGGGGGAGACCAGATCCATCAGCAAAACTGTTTGTTCAGGTCATTTCCAGGCAACCAGAGCTGTCTCCCACAGGGACATCAGTGGGGATGGGCAGGAGGGTTAGAAACAGCAAAGACTGTGTAACATCAACCTGTCCTTGTCCCGATCCCGCTCAGCAAACCTGGAACCGTGGCTGCTTCCTGGCAAACCTGGCCTTAAAGCAGCAGGGCTGCAGGGGAATAGCCGGGCTCCAGGAGGCACTGGGATGCTGTTCCAGCAGGAATTCCCTATGGAATTGCGGGTTGTAGGTAGAATTCCTCTAAACCTGCAAAGCTGAGATCGGAACCCAAACCTGGGCCCCCGCAGAGAACAATCTTTGTGCTGCCGTGTCGGCCAAAGCCCCTGCACTGAGAGATCTTGGCAGCCTGAGGGAGGGCATTCTCTGCATCCCGGCAACCAGCATCTCCCCAGGGGACAATCCAAGTCCCAACCAATTCCTTTTGCCTTTCCACAGGGACAGTGACCCTTATTTGGTCCTGCTCTCCCACGGTTCATTTTGGGGGATCCATTTGTGCTGGTTTACGTTCCACGACTCCGCCCACAGCTGGAGATTTGGGACTGTGCTTCTCTACTCCCAGCAGGTTCCCTAAGGAGCCAGATACTCCAACAATCCCCTCGTTTGACTTTCTAGGTGAATTGTACACAAGCCAGTCCCTCATTCCCTATCCAGGCTGGGAGTGCTCGTGCCCTTGGCACAGATGGCTCTGGCTGGGCAGGAACTGAGAGCAGGACACGGGACACAGTGGATCAGCTGCCCAGGGAATCTCCAGGATTCTCACAGAGACAGCAGCATCTGTGCTAAAAGCAGTTGAGGTCCAGGAAGAGACTGAGACAAACCAGGACAAATCAGCATGGCTTCTGAGGGTTTTCCAGGCTTTGCCAGCAGCCTTGGAAGTAGTGCCAGTGAGTTCTGATGGGTTTCTGATGGGTCATTGCTTCAGTCTTCTCCTTTTCCCTGAACCTCTACTGTGTACTTTCTGAGCTCAGCTGGAAACAGATTTTGCAGGAAACAGAAATCTTCCTCATCCTGAGAACCTACATTTTTTGAACTCCCCATCAGAGCAGATCTTCAGAGCTTTGTTCCCAGCAGTGAAAGTCTCTGGCACTGGGACCGTGGCGGCAGGGAGCCGCAGGAGCGATGAGACTGGGACGTCTCCTTAACGCTGCGGCTCCAGAGGCTCCCGAGCTGCAGCGGGACAGAGCCGCGGGGCGCGGGCAGCGCAGAGCGGCGGCGTTATCGGTGCCGGCGCAGGTGGCAGGAGCCGCGTGCGGTCGGTGCCTCGGCCGCGTCCCCGGCGGGCGGTGACCGCCTCCTTCCTGCCCCGGCGGCGAGGCGAGCGCGGGGGCACAGCTGCGGCAGCCCCGCCATGTGCCACCGCCCGCGCGAGGCACCGGGACCCGCCGCCCCCGCGGGGAGCCGGGGGCTGCTCCCACCGCCCGGGGAGGGGGCACCCGGGGAGGGGGCCCCGGGGCTCTGCCTCCAGCCGCTCCTCGGGGCGGTCCCGTGGAGGCTCCGGCGGGATTGGGGCTGAATCCTGTCAGCGCGGGGGTGGCTCTTGCCGGGCTCCAGCGGCAGAGTTGGACCCACGGGGGGAAACAGGAGGGGCCCCCCGGCCCAGGTGCTGGGGGGGGGCGGCTCCCCCCGGGGACATCCGTGTGCCGGCCCACTGTGGCGAGGTGTGTGACGCCAGAAGCGGAGCCGAGCCTCATATTTGGGCACGAAGCAGGTTATTGGAGGCCGTGGCCCTGCAGCTGGGCGATCCCTCGGCTGATAAAGGCTCCCCTGGTGCTGCCGCCTGCACCGGCTCCGGTGCTGCCGCTACATCATCCCCTGCCTGCGCTGGGGGTGCGGGACCTGTCGGGGATGGGGCCGGTCGTGGCGCTGGGGCTGCTGCTGTGCCTGCAGCTGTGTGGGGGTGAGTGGCGGGGTGGTGGGAGCGGGGACCCGCCGGTGCCGGGCCCGGCTCAGGCCCCTCTGTGCCGCAGGCTCCGGGCAGCTGCGGCTGGTGGGGGGCGGCGGGCGCTGTGCCGGACGCGTGGAGGTGAATCACGACGGTGAGTGGGGCTCCGTCTGTGTCTACGACTTTGACTGGCAAGCCCGCTGGGCCACCGTGGTGTGCCGGCAGCTGGGCTGTGGCCGCGTGGCCTCGTCGTCCCCGTACGCCCCGTTCGGGCAGGGCAGCGGCCGGATCTGGCTCCAGCCCTTCTACTGCCGTGGCACCGAGGAGGTGCTGGAGGAGTGTCCGCACTATGAATGGGGCCAGCACTACTGCGGCCACGAGCGGGACGTGGGGGTGATCTGCACAGGTGAGGGGGACAGGCTGGCCATGCTGGGACACCCACCTTGTGCCAGGGTGTGCCGGGCACGGCTGAGCTGTGCCGGTGTCCCGGTGCAGAGGCCGTGGAGCTGAGGCTGGTGGATGGTGGCGGTCCCTGTTCCGGGAGGGTGGAGGTGAAGCTGCGGGGACACTGGGGCTCGGTGGCAGATGACAACTGGGACATGGATGATGCCGAGGTGGTGTGCCAGCAGCTGGGCTGTGGCTCGGCTGCCGGCGCCTACTCCTCCCGCGACCGCTTTCGCGCAGGGACCGGGCCCATCAACCTGGCCGTGGTGGACTGCAATGGGGAGGAGGCCACACTGTGGGACTGCAAGATCCGCGGCTGGGGACCCTACAGCGGTCCCCATGACTATGACACTGCCGTCATCTGCCAAGGTAGGAGCCGGGCTGGGAGGGACGCGGCGCTCCCGGCACATCCCTCAGTGCCAATTCTGCACCGCTCCTGCAGGGTTTTCCCGGCTGGTCGGAGGTGACAGAGCCTGTGCCGGGCGGTTGGAGGTGCGGCAGCGCCAGGCCTGGGTTGGCGTCTGCGCGGAGCACGTGGACATGAAGGTGGCCCAGGTGGTGTGCCGGGAGCTGGGCTGCGGCACGGCGCTGGCCATCCCCGGCAGCGGCCGGTTTGGGGCGGGAACGGGGCCGCTGTGGGAGGGGGGGTTCAACTGCACCGGCAGCGAGCCCCTCCTCAGCGCCTGCGCCCGGCGGGTGCCCCACAGCCAGGGCTGCGCTGGCCACGCCACCATCATCTGCTCCCGTAAGCACCGGGGACACCGGGGGGTGTTAGGGGTCCCCCCAGCATCACCCCCCTGAATGCCCTTTCTGCCACAGCCTACACGGGCTTCCGGCTGGGGAACAGCAGCTCGGGCTGTGCCGGGCGGGTGGAGGTGGAGGTGAGGGGCACGTGGGGGTCCGTCTGCGCCACCGACTGGGACCTGCCCGATGCCGACGTCCTGTGCCGCCACCTGGGCTGTGGCCACGCCGTCACCGTGCCCCCGGGAGGCTCCTTCGGCAGCGGGGACGGGCCGCTGAGGCCGGACGCCTTCGGCTGCAGCGGGAGCGAGCGGCACCCGGGCGAGTGCCCCGTGGCGGTGCTGGGGGAGCCCCCCTGCAGCCCGGGGAACGCTGCCGCCGTCAACTGCTCAGGTCTGTGTGGCACCTGTGGGAAGAGCCTCCAAGGGCTTTTGGGACACCCCAAGAATTGGGAGCGGAGCACTCAGGGCTGTTTTGGGATGAGGGGAGGGCTGAACCAGGTGCCACAGCCTCACGGCACTGCTGGTGATTTTTCAGGCACTGAAGGCACCATCAATTCCGTGCGGCTGGTGGAGGGTGAGAGCCGGTGTGACGGGCGGCTGGAGGAGGCCATAACCACCCCAGCCTGGCGCCGTGTGCCTGTGGAGCAGTGGAAGAGATGGGATGTCGACATGGTGTGTGCTGTGCTGGGTTGTGGCCTGCCAAAGGAGATCTACACAGCCTTGGGTATGGCACCCACTGCACTGACCAGCAGCGCCAGGGAGGTGGATGTCATGACGGAGGAGACAGATGTCGTGACAGAGGAGGTGGATGTCGTGACGAGGGAAATGTACAACATCTCGGGGATGGGCCCTGAGCTGACCAGGAGCCTCGAGGAGATGGAGGACATGCCGGAGGAGACCTCCCATGTCTTAGAGATGGGCCCTGCACCAACCAGCAGCCCTGAGGAGATGGTCATCGTCTGCTCAGGTGGGTGTCCCGAGAAGGGCCGGGCTGCTGGTGCCCTGAGCAACCCCCAGCCCGGTCCCTCCGTGCCCGCAGGCAGCCGGCGGGTGAGGCTGGCGGGCGGTGCCGGGCGCTGCGCCGGGCGCGTGGAGGTCTATGCCGGTGGCACCTGGAGCAGCGTGTGCCAGGAGCGCTGGGACCTGCGGGCCGCCGCCGTTGTGTGCCGGGAGCTGGGCTGTGGCGCGGCACTGGAGGCCCCCGGCTCGACGCGCTTCGGCCCCGGGCCGGGGACAGCGTGGCCGTACGTGGTTGAGTGCGCCGGGAACGAGGAGTCTCTCTGGGAATGCCCACGCTCGGAAGGGCGCGAGTGCGAGCGCGGGGCCGGGGCCGGGGCCGTCTGCTCAGGTGAGTGTCGGGTGTCCCCGGGGCGGGGAGCAGCAGAGCCCCCGGGGGGGTTCCCGTCCGTGCCGTGACCCCCCTGCACCCCTCGCAGAGCAGCTCTCCCTGCGGCTGGCGGGCGGGCGCGGGCGCTGCAGCGGGTACCTGGAGCTGCTCCACAACGGCACCTGGGGCCGCGTGTGCGCCACCGGCACCAGCCCCGGCACCGCCGCCGCCGTCTGCCGGCAGCTGGGCTGCGGGGACGGGGGGCAGCTGGCACCCGGCCCCGCCCAGCAGCCGGCCCCCGCCTGGCTGGCCTGGGTGGGCTGCGAGGAGGGGGCCCGCTCGCTCTGGGGGTGCCCGTCGGCACCCTGGCACCTGCATTCCTGCGGCCCCGGAGGGGACGCCTACGTGGCTTGTGTTGAGGACAGTGACAACCCCAGCGAGACAGCCACCACCCCGTGCCCGGACGGGGCCACCTGCACAGGTACCTCTGCCCGTGCCAGCAGCCCCCCCGCCGGGCCGGCTGGGATCCCCCTGCCCTCACTGCCTGGCCGTGTCCCCACAGCTGTCCCCAGCAGCAGCGGCCCTGCGGTGGCCAGGGGGACTGTGCCGGTGCCAAGTGGGCAGGTGCCCAGGGGGACTGTGCCGGTGCCGGTGGTCCTGTGCGTGGTCCTGGGGACGCTGCTGTGCCTGGCCCTGGGCGCCCTGGCCGTGCTGATGTGCCGCGCCCGCACTTGGCGCCGAGGTGGGTCCCGGCGGGTGGGTGCCGGGGCAGAGCCGCTTTGGGGGTTCAGGGGCTCCCCCCGTGTGGAACGGCTCGGAGGGTGGGCAGTGGGTGACCCCGGTGCCACCCACGGTGCCCACGGCCCTGGGAGAGCGCTGCCTCTTGTTGCAGGTGCCGGCAGAGCCGTGGGTGCCATCCCCGACGCCATCTACGAGGAGCTGGACTACAGCGCGATGCCGGAGTACCAGGAGGTGCCCAGTCGCCCAGGTCGGTGCAGCCCCCGTGCCCCAGCTCTGCCCGGACAGGGGGGCTCTGCCCCACAGTCCCACCGCGGCAGCGGGTCCTGGTGGCACAGCACTGGCTCCTCCCCGTGGTGTGGGGGGTCCCTGGGTCCCATCACAGCCGTGCTCTGTGGCTGAGGTTGTGTCACCCGCGGTGCCACCTCTGGCCACCCCCAACACTCTGTTTTCCCCCTGCAGGTTCCCCGCGGGAGGGCTCCGTGAAGAAGCTGCTGTATTACACCGGGGACAGCGTGGAGGGGAGTGACACCGGGGCAGCCCCAGGTAGGGGCACAGGGCAGGAACCCAGCGGGGAGCACTGGGGACAGGGGACACGGCAGGGCTGGGGAGCTGAGGGGACAGGTCCCCCCTCGTTAGTGGGCAGAGAAGCATCGCCCTTCCCTGAGGGACCAAGGGCCACCAACACATCCCTGGTGGCACAGCCAGAGGGCGATAGCACAGCCAGTCCCTGCCATGGCCACCGGGTCAGTGCCATGTACCCCTGTGCCAGTCCCAGTCCCCCCTGCCCTGCCTGGGCACAGAACCCCGGATGGCTATGACGATGCCACGGCTGGAACCCTGGACAGTTATGACGATGCCATGGTTGGAACCCCAGATGGCCACAACGATGCCATGGCTGGAAGCCTGGATGGCTACGATGATGCCACAGCTGGAAGCCTGGATGGCTACGACGATGCCATGGCCGTGCCAGAGGAATCCCCCACTCCCAGCACTGGGGACATCTCCAAGGGAGTGGCACAGAGGGGCTGGATCTGTGTCCCACCCACAGGTAAGAGGGACCACAGCTGCCCTGTCCCTCCTGGAGAGCCACTGCATGGGGATTTGGCTGCAGTGGCGGGCTGGGATCCATCAGCAGATCCACGGGGGCTGCAGAAACACAGAAACACCCCAGGTGGGGTCTGGAGGGGGGACACGGAGCTGTCCCCCTCAGGCACCTGCCTTTGCTGTCCCCAAGGTGGGAGCTGCCCCCCTCCAAGTCCCCCCGGAGCCACAAGGGACCCCCCGGGACAGCCCCCGGGGCACATGGACTATGATGATGTCGGCACCAGCGCCCCGGGGACGTCGCAGTGAGGATGTCCCGGCCACGTCCCATCCCTGGGGACACGTGTGCTATGGCCATGGAGGTCACCTCTCCCTGACCAGGACTGCAGTGCAGGCAGAAAAGTGCTCTAGTGTAGGGATTTTCTTTTATATCAATGTGAATTTCTCTTTTTTCCTATTAAAACCCCAAACTGGCTGAAGACTCACTCCCAGGCTGGCACCTCACTCCCAGGTACATCACCCATCCCTTGGGGATGTGGGGCAGGAGCTGGTACCGCAGATACATCCCTGGGCACGATGGGATCAGGGGGAAGAGCACAGTCTCCTGGGATTGGCTCCAGGGTCTTTATTTCTTTATTTGGCATTGACAAACCCATACGGTTACTCCCACCAACACTGTGGGGAAAAAGGAGAAGACAGGAGCTGGACACCTTGCAGGTGCAGCAGGGTCTCCTCCCTGTGCCCCCCTGTGTGGCACAGGCTCACACTCACATGGCAGCACCAAGAACTAGGCTGGGAATGGCTCTGGTTTTTGGAAGGACCTTTCCTAAAGGATTGGAGCTCTCCTGAAGGAGGGAAGTGCCTTCCTGCCGCCCGGCTGGACCCCACGGTGGCAGGGCAGCCGGGCCATGGCCCCCACCTCTGGCACATCATGCTCCAGGAGGTTCCTGATCTTCAGATCGGGCTTCAGGGCCCGGAGAGTGGCGAGTTCCTGCAGCACGTCCTGGCTTAACCCGTCTGTGCTCAGCCTTGGGATGGAGGAAGGAGGAAAAGAGGAGAAGGTGTTAAACCTTGTTAGGAGGGAGGTGTTCAACCACCCAGAATGCTGGTGCCCCCAGCAATGGGGATACTGGGCGTGGAAAGGGGCTGTGCCAGGGCCCTCACCCCAAGGTCCGCAGTGGGCAGGCGGGGTGCCGGAGCTGCTGGCAGAGCTGCAGGACGCCATCAGCTCCCAGATTGTTGTCACTCAGGTCCAGGCAGGTGAGATGAGGCCCCTCCAGCAGCTGTGCAGCCAGGGCTGGGCAGCAGGCGCCCGTCAGCCGGCAGCTCCCCAGCCTGTGGGACCAGGGAAACAGGGAAGGGGGGGTTTGACCATCCGGCGGGTGAGCTGTTCCAGGTGGGAAGGAGGGAGCTCTGGTTGGCCCCTTACCGCAGCGTCTGCAGCGGGCAGGCGCGGTGCTGGAGCCCCTGGCACAGCAGCTGCACCCCGGCATCGCGAAGCCCCTCGCTGAAGGACAAATCCAGCTCCTCCAGCCACGGGCTGGTGCCCAGCACGGCAGCGAGGTCCTCACAGCAGCTGCTGGTGAGGCGGGAATAATGCAGCCTGACGGGAACCCGTGCAAAAGATCATCCAGTGGCACCAGGACGTCTGAGGGCACCCAGCACCACCCTACCATGGTGACAGTCCCCTCTGGTGCCACTGCTTTGAGCTCCTTGCCCTGGGACAGGGGGGATAGAGGGACAATTCCACCCCAAAGGGACTCTTCTGAGGCACTTCCCCAGCTCTCCGCTCCAGCCTGTGGGAGATGCCCGTGGGATGCCGGGGGGTTCTGGGGGTGCCGGGGCCACTCACCGCAGGACGCGCAGGCGGCAGCCAGGACGCCGCAGCCCCTGGCACAGCAGGCGCACGCCGCGGTCGCCCAGCGCGCCATCGCCCAGCTCCAGCTGCGCCAAGCTGGGGTGTTCCGCCAGCAGCACCGCCAGCTCGGCGCAGCAGCTCTCGGACAGCCGGCACCACTGCAGCCTGCGGGAGAGCCACGGGGAATGGCAGGCTCAGCACACCCGTCCCGGCTGCTCACCCGCCCACCAAACCCCAGGGACCACACCCTCTCACAGGCAAGCGGGGCCGGCCTCACCCCGGCCACGTGCTGCTGTCCCCAGGGAGCAGCGGGGCACTGCGAGGGGTGACCATGAGCCCACACAGCTCCTGTCCCTTCTGCCCAGGGCACCACCCACCCACCCACTCCCCTCCGGTTTGGGTGCCCCCACCCAGACCCCCCATCCCAGCCGCGGTTTGCGCACGTCTCTCACCGGAGCACCCGCAGGGCACTGCCTGGGTGCCGCAGCGCCTGGCACAGCAGATGGATGGGGCAGTGCAGCTCCTCCTGCTGCAGCTCAGCGATGGCACCAGGATGTCCTCCAGCTCCCGAGGCTCCAGAGCTGCAGGGGGACAGAGCCGTGGGGCACAGGCAGCCCTCACTGGTGCCAGGAGCTCCCGGCTCCGACACCGGCACACAACCCCCCGAGCAGAGCCTTCAGCTCGTAGGAGGGCTTCTCAGGAGGGACCTCCGTGGCTTTGGAGGTGCGAAGGATCACAAGTGTTACTTCTGGAGCCACCTGGGGTGACTTAAGTCACAGGGTGCACTTAACATTTCTGCACCAGGGATCTCCCCTTTGCCTGTGAGAAGGGGGGGCGTGAAGCCAGAGCGACACCTGCACACAGGTGGGTCTGGTCAGGCTCGGGAAGTCGAGCCAAGATGCTCTATCTCCACCAACCCCACAACATGCTGTGGACAGGGGAGCTCACGTGCTCCTTATGCTCCCCAAGAATAAGTAAAATCCTCCACTGAGGAACTAAACCCCCAGGGAAAGGCCAAGCTGGTGTTTGGGTGGAAGGAGCTGAAATGCCTTTAAAACCATCCTTTGGGGCAGAGGAGGAGAAATCTTTGCAGTTTTGGGTCACCAAAGCAAGGAGGGGCAGGACTTACCAGGGCACCAATGCATCCAGCTCCACCCTGGGATCCTGCTGGTGGAAGGAGCATCCCCGGAGGGTGACACAGCCCAGCCCAGCCCACTGCTGGATGCAGAAGGAAAGTGCCATTTGGTCATAGAGAGTCAACTTCATGTCCTGCAAGTCCAGGTCACTGAAATGACCCAACGCACTTTGTGCAAAGCTCTTCTCATTCATCTCGAACAAGAAGTGGAAAGTGTCCAACTCCGAAATCTTCAGCGCTTGGCTGGGGTGGGAGATGCTCCTGTGCCTCCCCTGAAGCCACCTCAGCAAGTCTTCCCTGGCTTGTGGTGAAATCCTGCACCCAGTGGTCTTGTCCACATACTCCATGGATTTTTGGCTGACTAAACCAAAGAGGAACTGCACTGTTACATTCAAATCCTTCCTGGACTCACTGTAGCTTTCTAGTAACTTACTTACATCCTTCTCAAGCCCCCCCAAGTCACTGACCATTTCCTCATCATCCTCCAGAACATAAAACATCGCTGCAAAAAACTCCTGGAGGTGCAGATGGGTGAAGCTGTAGACCTTCCCGTGGTCTCCACCTTCCTTTGAGATTTTCTCATTGAGGAAGAGGGGAAGAAGGTCTGGCTGGCCCAAGCCACGGTCCCTGATCTCCTTCTCCTCAAAGAGGACCTTGTGCTTCCAGATGCCATCAGCAGCCAAGGAGCAAAGCCGGAGAAGAAACCTCTGGAGGACCTGCGGATTGTCCCTGTCCCTGTGCTTCAGTAACTGGGAGAGGTAAGACATGGTCATCCTTGTGGTGGCTTTGGAGCACTCAAGGAGGTTTTTCTTCCTGCAAAGCTCTCGTTCAAGGATGGTGCAGACAGTCCAGCTCATGACGGGGATGACGCACAAGCTGTAGAGGATCTCATTGCCTCTGGCAAACCTGAAGGCCATGTCAGCTTTGTTGGCATTCTCAAAATATCTGTGGAAATATTCCTCCCTCATGGCTGCCGAAAATCCCAGTATCTCTGCGTAATATTCCCCCTCCAGGCACCGCCCCAGGCTTTGAAGAGCCGTTGGCCTCGTGGTGATGAGCAAAGAAGCCTCTGGGAGAACAGTCCTCTTCAACAAGCTCATCAGGGTGGTTTCCAGCGGCTTCACCTCCCTGGGGTCAGAGCTCAGCTCAGCTTCAGGCTGAACCAAGGAAAATCCCAGGGCCTCAAAGCCATCAAAAATGAACAGGATCTTCTGGTCATCCAGGATCCTCCCAGCTGGCACTCGCTGGTGAGGGCAGCACTGTGAAACCAGGTCTGCCACGCTCGCTTCCTCGGGAAGGGCGATGCCTTTACAGTCAATGCAGAAGACACAGTCAAACTGCTCGTGGAGGGCCCCTTCTCCCCACTCCACCATCACCTTCCTGACCATCGTTGTCTTCCCCATCCCCGGGGCCCCCACCAGCACCACGACCCGCGGTGTTTGCCCGTCCTCGTCGGGTCTGAACAGCGTCTGTGCGGTGACGGTGGCTGGTCCATTGCTGGTGCTGGCACATCCCACAGCTCCACGCTCAGCTCCGTGCCCGCTCCGAGGCTCCCTGGCGATGGTCAGGGCGGTGTAGTGGCTGTGGATGGATGGGTTCTCCCCGGGACTGGATTCCCCTGCTCCGTCTCGGAGGAACTCCCGGACCACGTGCTCTCTGTAGTTCCGCTTGTACTCTGTGCCAATGAGGAGAACAGTCAGTCCCAAGCCCAGACGAATTCCCAGCCAGCCCAACTGCGCTCCTGACACACCAATGGACACTCATTTCAATGCTCAGGCCTTTCCTAAGTCTGGCAGAGGCAATAAGGACATAATCTGTGAGGGTTTAAGGTTGCAGGGGTTCTTCTCCCGGGTGCCCTCAACATCCTGATCCACCAACCCCTGTTTCAACCATCCTCATCCCCCTGGGAGCAAATGCAACTGCCCGGGGCCACCTGCAGCCTCTGTCCCCTCACGCTGCCGGGGACAAAGGCACTGTGCCTGGGCTCCTGGCTCCACAGCATGTTGCTCTGCAGAGATATCCTTAATGCCCATCCCAGGAGGAAAGGATCTGCCTGCCTGGGAAGTGCTGAGAGCGCTGGATGAGCTTTAAAGTCACTTCCAACCCGAACCATTTTGTGATTCCATGATTTTAAACAATGCGTTTATCGAGAAGTTACAAGCCCGTGTAATTCAGTGCAAGGATGAGCTGCCTGGACAGAGGTGGTGACACTGTCCCCTAGCAGTGCTCAAACTGGGAATGCCCAAGCCCATGGCAGCAGGTGGGGAGGCTGCTCAGGGATTCCAGGCTATTCACAGCCCCTCCTGGGTAGCTGGGCTTGGATTTTCACTGCAAGAACTTTCTGCTGCCAGGTAAACCCACCTTGGCTGCTGCAGCAAGTCACTCCACTGTGAGAAACGTCCTTCATCCTGCTTTTCCCGGGAGTTCAAGGCAAGGAGAAATGGCTGCTGCCCAAACAGCCACTGGGTTTTGCTGCTGTGTAGCCCTTTCCT